CAAAAAAAAAAAAAAAAAAAAAAAAAGAATTTTCTTCAAAGAACCAGGATGTCTTCAGTTGATGTAATCTTGCCCTTGAGCATCACTGGTCCACTGAGGCCTCAGCTGTGGCCAGATGTAAAACAGTTATGTTTCTGCCTACCATAGCTGACCCACAGGCAAGAAGACTAGGCCTCAGACAGCCCTAATTATAACTTAATTGTGAAATGATTTTTTTCCTTAAATTATGTAGAATGGCTCCTGACAAGTTATAAAAGTCACAAACCACAGGCCAAGTTTAATAAACACTACTACATTAGAATTACATGGTCTTTTTTTTTCTCCCTGGTACTGGGAATCAAACTTAGAACCTTGTGCTTGCCAGATAGCAGGGCAGTCCTGAGCTACATCCCCAGCCCTGCATGCATGGTCTTTTTTGGGGGAGGGTACTGGGACTAAACTGGGGACCTTGGGCTTATGAGGCAGGTGGAACCACTGAGCTAAATCCCCAGCTCCCCTGTGCATGGTCTTATTCATCAAAAGATATCAAAACTTAAAAATGTTAAGCCACAGAGTGAGAGAAAATATTTGCAATACTAAAAGTCACACAAGGCCAGTTCAGAACACATCAGTAAGAAAAGAACTTGTAGGGTTGGGGCTAGGGCAGTGCACTTGCCCAGCATGGGTAAGGCCTTGGATTCTATCCAAGGCATGGGAGGTGGGGAGAGGAGAGGAGAAAGGGAGAAAGACAGAGACAGAGACAGAGACAGAGACAGAGACAGAAAAATCTCAGCCTCAGCCCAGACTACAAGGCTCAGGGCCTGGTTGTTACCTTTTCTTGGTCTCTGTATTAGAAGATAGGGTGAGGGCAGATTCTATTCCGTAGATCAAGAGAACATGGAAGTGGATTCACTGTGTCGTGGCCAGTGTACAAGGGGACCGAGTTCCATCCTGATGACCCTCAGCGTTCTCTCTAACAGACCAGGAGGTGGTTTCAAACTGTTCCTCAACCGCTGATCAGATGTGCCAGTACATGGAAGGTTACTACTACAGCAACTCAGAAAACTGTATGGAGCACTGTTTCCAGTGTAGCAGGTACCAGTGGGAGGGGGCATCCTAATTCTTCCTCAACACTCTCTTTTTTTTGGACCATTTATATAGTAGGACCAGCCTCAGTAACCCCATATGCAAAATAGGGATACTGAAGTAGCACCTGTGATATAGGAGATTAGTAGCCCAACTGGACATGTCCTGGTGGCCTGCCTAGAGGCTGTGCTCATGTGTTAGTCAGTTTTCCTTCACTGTGACCAAATGCCTGAGAGAAACATCTTAAAGCACGGCAGGTTTATTTTGTCTCATGGTTTCAGAGCTATCAGTCCATGGTCACTGGCTCTTTGTTTCTGGGCTGTGAGGAGGCAGAAATGTCATGGTGAAAGGCTGTGATGGAGAAAGGCTACTCACTTTCTGCCGACCAGGAAGCAGGGAGGGAAAAAGCCTGAAGGGAAGGGGCAGAGACAAGGTAGAGCCCCATGGTCACATCCCATGGCCCACTCCCTCCCACGAGGCCTGTTTCCACCTCCTGTTTTCATCTCTTCCTAATAATGCCATCAAATGATGGTCTTCAGGCAGGACTGAAAGGCCTTGAACCCCTAGTAGTTGGGACACATGATGGAGGTGCACTTACAGCGTAAGACCAGCTGGTGACCAGGTCCTGATGCTTAGAGAACCATGGGCGGGGGGTGCTACTGTTAGACTCAATGGCCAGGGAGAGCCATTCTGAGGAAGTGGAGGAAGGGAGAAAGGGAGACATAGAAAAAGCTCTGGGGGCGAGAGAGCTCTAAGCAGGGAGGATGGCAGTAATTTTCCACTATGTTAGAATCGTGTGGCCACTACAAAGTGAGCACAAACTGGTGACTGAAAGCAATAGAAATGTACTCTTTCACAGTCCAGAACCCCAGAAGTATGGAATTTGTGGTGTCAGTGGGAGCTCTGGGGGAGCTCTAGGGGAGAGCTCTCAAGGCTCTGGAGGAGATTCCTGCTTATGGTGCCAGGTACACTCACAGTCTCATACCCACGACCCAAGGGGAGAAGAGTCTGTGTTGTTTTTGCCTCGTGGAGTTCATGTAGCCTACAGGGGGTTGTGCAGACAAGGTGTTCCCTAAACATGTATGACTAAGTCCACAACAGGTGCCACTTGCCAGCTACTCTAAGCAGCTGAGGATACTGATCTATACCAGGCACCAGGAACAGATCAGTGCTTTCAGGCCATCCTTGAGGACTGGGCTCAGACTTGACCCCCTGTTCTGAAGCAAGATTAGCAAGGATGGGGGATGGTGATAATCACAAAGATGTTGTGAAGTGTTGTAAGCTTTTAAAAATATTAATACCATGGGCCAGGGATTGAGCTCAGTGTCACTGCCTACCCCACAAGGTCCTGAGTTCGATCCCTGGTACCCCCCCCAATTAATGCCAATACTGCTTCACCAAAAATTGTACAATTTGGCATATGTGATTTGATTTTAATAACTTTCCTTTATGCAATAAAATTGTTTCCTAAATAGCATTTCTTCTGTTTTGGGTAGATACACAAAGGGTTATGATGTTAAAAAGTGTCCTGGATATATTGGATCTAAGTGAGTTTTTTAGTGCCAATTCTGTTGGAAACTTCAGAACCCCAGCCTTGCAAGGGCTGCACCTCTGAATAGATTCTATATAAATCACAAGGGGAGATCAGGCCTGCATGCCGCCAGAGTACTGTCAGGAGTGGGTACCCCTGGGAAGTGGCTGCACACACAAGCAGTAAGTTTGGGGTTTGAGGAAGATTGCACCCTGCCCCTCCTTCTCGCTTAGCACAGACATCAAATTCAGCAGCACCAGTCTCTGGAAATATGCATAGATCAGCATGCTTATCCCTATCCTTTGACAAGCAACTTAGCTTCCGGTTCTTAATTAAAGCAGATGTCCCAACACCTACCAGACTCACTCCAGAAGGTTGGGATTCTCCCAACTTCATCTCTCCTTCTCTCCACACCCCATCTGCTTACTGCCTCCTAGGGATTGCTCAGACTGCCAGCTGTCCCAGCCTACCTCTTCCCCTCCTGTACACTGCGCTCCCTATCTAAAGCGCTTGCTTTTATTGGGCTTTCCTGAATTCAACCCGTCCGCTGGACAGCTGTCAGGATGATGTTTCTACAGCACACATCTGTCCTGGCTGCTCCTTGAACCCCTTCGATGTGTTTGCTACCCTTGGCTTGGCTTACTGGATGCATCCGGGACCTTCGTAGTGCTTCAAGTCGCGTCCCAACCACACTGCCCGGTGCTCTGACGCTGCCAGGAATTTCTTCTGGGCTGGCTGTAAGCCCGGGTCACCAGCAGGTCATCTGTATGCCCAGGCTGGCTGTTCGCCAGGCCTTTTTCTCGCTCCTCTTCCTGCCAGCTCTTGACCCCGCCGGTTCCCGGGTTGGGTTGTCCCCTGACTGCGGCAGGGCGACCCCTCTAGATCTGGCAAGCTCTGGACCTCCGAGACGCAGCAAGCCCAGCTCGACGCCCAGCATGCCCCGCGTCGCGGCGTCCTAGCCCAGTTGCCTAGCGACCAGGCGTATCCGGAAGGCGGAGGGTTGGGCGGGACTTCCGGGGCGCGGTTGCATCAGATTCTGGGAAGAGTCTGTGGCGCCGGTCTGGGATTCCCAGCGATGGCAGGTTCCTCCGGGGAGCAGGGTGAGTGTCCCGGTCGGACGTCAGGGGCCCGGGTCAGGCGGAGAGACGCTAGGAGGCTCTGCAGGGACCCCAGGATCTGCCGGCCGGCGCGCACCAAGAACTAGGGCCGCGGATTCGCGGGCGGACAGTGGGCTAGCTGCTGTCTGAGGGGCAGAGGGGGACCGAGAAGGGCAGTAGGTCCCCTGGCGGGCAGTGGGCGGACCATGGGGCAGAGAGGTATTGGGGGCCCAGGGCAGGCTTTGGGTCTCTGGGTGAACAGTGGATATACAGCCAGATCATATGTCAGGCCAGGGCTCTGAGGAGCCTCAGGTCCATGGACAGGTAGTGGCTAGGCCAGGATTCTGAGGGTCACTGGGTCCCCAGAGCAAGACAGGGTCCAGGCCAGCTCTCTGAGGCAGTGGGCCAGTGGTCAGGTCTAGGCTGTGAGAGGCAGCTGGTCCTCGGGGCTGACACTGGTGGCCTGAGTTCTGAGAGGTGGCCTACAGAATTCCAGGCTTAAGTGTAGACTTGAGCCTACCGTTGCAAGACCACCTCCTTCCCAGCCTCAGTTTCCTCATTGGGTTGGGGCCAGGATCTCTGCATACACGTCTGTGGAGTGGACTTGTATCAAAGAACCTGTCCCTAGCTGGTGCCTGGGCCCAATATCATCACCCCTTCCTGCCCCAGCTGGACTTTGGGGAAGAGGCAAAGGCTCAGAGTTGTTTTGGTTTTCTGCCCAGCCAGGTGGGCGGAAGGGCACTTGAGGTTGATACTTAGGAAAATAGGGCAGAGGAAGCCTGGGCTACATGTACACACATATAAAAGGGCTTGGGGTTTTACCAAAGCTTTCATCTCTAGTGTGTCCATAAGTCACAATTGGGAAGTACCTCATCAGAGCATTACCGCCTACTTTATTGCCACCCAGGAGTTTCCCTGAGGAAGCAGCCTTGTGAGCTCCCCATGTCACCCAGGGATAGACCAGGACATTGGCATTCAGACCTCTGAAAAAAAGTAGGTATTGGCCAGGCATGGTGGCTGATGCCTGTAATCCCAGCACTCGGGAGGCTGAGGCAGGAGGATTGCTGTGAGTTCGAGACCAGCCTGAACAACATAGTGAGTTCCAGGTCAGTCTCAACTACATAGTGAGACCCTGTCTCAAAAAACCAAAAAAAAAAAAGAAAAAAAAGTAGGTATTTCCTTACTGTTCCTTTGGCAAGATTTTAGGTCCTTGGAAGAGTAGCGACTGTAGTCCAGATTCCTAACAGTTAGGAGTTGATTTTATGAAGAAAACATGGTTTGGTAGGTTTTATTCACTATCCTGGCAAAATTTAGGTGTGAGTTCTTCATCTTGCCTTTCTCAGTTTCTCATTGCTGAAACACAGTACCCGACATCCACAGTTTAGAAGAGGAGAGGGTTATTTTGGCTCAGTTTGTAGAGGTTCCAAGTCCATAGACAGCTGACTCCAAGGCAGGGTGGCATGGCAGAGGAGAAAGAACTCATGGCTACGGGAAGCAGAGAGAGGGATCAAGGGAGGAGGAAGTAGATTGATTCTTTCAGGCTGTTCCCCCAGTGACCCACCTCCTCCATCAGGCTTCACCTCCCAAATCACTTCTTTTCTTGTTTTGTTTTGTTTGAGACAGGTCTTATTAGTAGTTCAGACTGGCCTCGAATTCACTATATAGCCAAGGCTGACCTCAAATTCACAACCCTCCTAATTTCGGTGCTGGGATGCCACCACCACTCCCAGACTTTTTCTTTCTTTCTTTTTCTTTCTTTCTTTCTTTC